CTGCCCGCCGACCTCCTCCCCCGAGCCTCGCCGCCGGGAGCCCGGACTCCCGCTCGCCGACTTTCCGCGCCCCCTGCACCTGCTGCGGGCGCGAGGCCCGGCAGCGCCACCTGGCTGTCCCTCCCGGCCATGCCCAGAACGGCCGAGAGCGTTTGCTGAGAGCGAGCGGAGGTGGCACCGCTTGGTCGGTCGCCCCTGCCCCAGAGAAGTTTCCACATCCGTGGTTCAGCGAACCATATAACCGTCTGGGTGGGAACCTGCACTCCTTCCCTTCCCCACTATGATTCTAAAGAGATGTCTTAGGAGGGTCTTAGATGACCACAGATGAAGGAAGAGTAACAGTGAGTAAAGGGACTCTTGGCAGGAGAACAAGGCATGGAGGGGCCAGGCAACTTTGAGTTTGTACCCCAAAGCACCGGCACCAGATAACGGCCTGGCCCCGCGCAGGACTGGGCAAGCTGTGCACTCCATTACTGCTCCCACGTAGACTCTGATGTGACTGCGCCGTGCCCAACCTGCACAGCTATGCCCAGGACAGGCAGGAAGCTTTGCGGCGCTGGACTTTTATACTTGCAATCCCCGGGAGCTGAGGGTTCTTGGCTCTTTATGCACTACCGGACAGCTCCTCTCCCCGCTTTCACACCCCTTCCGCATCGCCATGACCCTCTCCTGAGGATCCACGACTGAACTTTGCACTAGATTGGGAGGCGAACTTCAGTAAATTAAACTGAGTCTATTGTATGGGGGGGGGGGGGGGGGGCGGGGAGGGAGAGGAGGACAAGACTGGAAGGAATCCTCACCAAAAGCCACTAAAAATCAGCTTCCTCTGCAGAAAAAGTTGTGGAAGTTCCAGGTCTCTTCTTCCGTTTCATTTCTTACTCTTCTAGGCTGGGTTTTTTTTTTTTTTTTTTTTTTTTTTTTTAAAAGCTCAGCCCGAAACTGTGACCTCCACAGATACCTGTGCCTGTAGAGGATTTCACCTAAACCAGTTCAGAGTTTTGACAGTCTCCGTTAGCACACCCTATTGGGCCTTGGCCACTTTTAGGCTCAGAAAACACCTTCAGGTTAATTTGTTTTCTGTCAGGGTTTTGTTTTTGTTGTTTTAATTCGTAAGGAAACTAGCCAGTAAACATTTGCCAATTCTACTTAAAAAATATGCCCTTGCAGACTTAGAGGCCATTCATTCCATGGATTGTTGAAACCCTCTTAGACCTGCCTATAATAACGAATTTTATAAATCCTTATTTACCAACATCTCTCCAGAAGAGACAGAGCGATATGAGGATTTTTCACAAGGCAACCATCAAGAGACTGCACAGCAAGAGAGCCTAGTTTCCTAGTTTAGAGTGCAAATAATCCCCATCTTCCTCGACTTCTTAGGTGGCAGTTTGGTTTTTAATACTTTCTCTTCTCCCTGGTTTCTCATGTTCAAGCCCTCTGAGTCTCTCTGGCTTCCATGCTTTCCAGATGGCATCTCTCACCCTCCCTTCCCTTTTTCCTACCCTAAATACTCCCTTCAAGTTCTTTGTACCTGAATCTATCCCACTTGCTCCTAGTTCTGGTAAAAAGCATCTACCTCTGAGAATCACCTTATGAACCAAAGTGACTTCCCTTATGGATGACACAAGGACACATTATTAGAATTAGAGAAAAGGGTGAGTTTAGGAGTCCTGAATGGTGGATGCAACCAACCAAGAGAGAAAATGTCTCTGTACCAGTGACCAGTCATGTTGCGCTTCTGAGCCTGGGCCTCCATCCATATCTATAGAGGAGGGGTTTGTATGGAAAATGATCATGAAGAGTCCATCTAGCTCTGGGGGCCTGAGGACAGTTCCATGGACCTGCAGAAGGAGTGGGGACTCATATTCATCCTTTTAGGTAGTCAGCTATGCTTTTGAAGGATTTTGTTGTTGTTTTAAATGTAATTGACTTTTTAGCCTTTCTGTGACAAACTACTTGCTAATTCTCATGTAGTGAAAGGTGCCCGGTTCCAGCCACGGTAAATATTTATTACATGGATAAAGCCAGACAGATGCTGGGTACAAATCCCAGGTCTAGCACATATGAGTTGTACGACCTTGGCTATATCATTTAGCCTCTTTAAGACTCAGTTTCAACATCATGAAATGGTGATAAGCTTCAAAGACAATGTAAATCACCAGCAAAGTGCCTACCATAGCATAGGTACCCAATGCATGGTGGCCATTATTATTTTGTTTTCAGATTATTTTGTTCTCAGATAATGATCTGATTCTGTGCTATCACAGGGTCTGGGTAAAAATCAGTAATGGCCTAAAACTTGATTGAGTCCTGTAGCACCAAGTTGATCTTTCAGAAATCACAGCCTTGGGTTAGCAGATGCCCAATAATCAGCTGTTGATTCGATTACACTGGACCCACCCCAGGTTGGAGCAGAGCCCAGGAGCCACTGCAGACCAGCATCCTGGTAGTGAAACAGAACTCAAAGGGCCAGACTGCAGCTTCCGGTCTGGCCATGTACTGAGTGGCCCCATAGTTCGGTATACTGTCACTTAGCAGGCTGGTTTCTCAAAACCACATGTGCCCAGCATTTTATTTTGGTCTAAGCCCCTTCTGGGTGAGATTATATCTTCTCAGAGAAGCTTTCCCAAACACCCTCCTTAGAACTGCTTCTCCCCCCTCTGAGAACATTGCTTCCTACCCTTGATACTCAAAGGACATTTAAGATTTATATAGTTACCTTTTCATTATCTCAGTCTGATTTCTCAACTAGGTTTTTATATTAAGGAACTTCTAGATCACCTTTATATAAGAACAACAACTAACATTTAATGAGTATGTTTTATATTTTACAAAGTACCCTCCTCACATAGGCTATCTCACTGTGGTCCCGTCTGGCCTATCACAATGTCTTACTCAAAGAATAAGCACTTACTGATTAATTGATGCCATTATGTGTTTATCATATGTTTATTTCCTTTTCTTTTCTCTTCTTTGGTAGTAAACTATGAAATAACCAAAGCCACAGTAGGGAGAGGAGAGTTAACTATAAGCCTACAAGAGTTATCAGCAACAACACCCATTACTATTAAAACTTAAAAGATTATAGACATTTATCTGTCTGTGTACTTTTAATGGAGAGGGAAATAAAATAATCTTTATAAATCATTTGCATAACGACTGATACCAATGAGGTCATGACCAAAGATACAGCTAAGTATGAGTGGATGAAGGTCCACTGGACTCATAAACCATTTCCAGATCCAAATTTGTCCTTTTTACATTTAGTTCTAGGACAAAGCTTTCATAGCTCTGCTTTCTATTTTAATCATTAAGGATCCAAGTAAGGACTTTATAGAACAATATTTAGTGATAAAAATGACTCATAATGATTACCTGTGTTGTCAATAATAAAAATATCTTGAAACCAACCAAGATTTGTAAGAAAGCCGGGACTAAGTACAAATCTTAACACCACCATCATAAACTTTCACTCCCTGCATACGGGTCCTCAATCTTCCACTTCTCTCCCAAGATCCTTAAAGTCATTTTCTAGGCTACCTGACTTTCTGCAGCATCTCTGGTATTGCTCAAGATGAATGGATTCAGATAAAGATGAGACCAACTTAAACAATTCTTAAGACCCATGTCAGTGGTTTAGCAGCTAAAATAAAAATTATTGCTAGGAGCTTAAAGATTGCTAGGAGCTTAAAGTTACAGTCTTGCCTCTGCTTTTCCCCTTCAGGAACTAGGATACAGCAGGACAGAGCAATCCTAATCCCAGGGTGAAGAGCCCTAGTTGCAACCCTAAAATCTCACCTTGTCATTTGCGGGGGAGATGTCTCTTTAACAGCCAACCAGTCCGTTTGGTGCATTTGCCAAGTGGGAGGGGTGTGTCTTCTATCAGCCCAACTCCCAGGATTAATTGTCTTATCTCCACTCCTTTCCTCTCCGATCTGCCTTCAGAGCCTAGAGTTGCCAGTTTGTCCCCTTCTGGCTCTGTTTGCCCTCACTGCCTTCTCTCTTTCCCCAGGAAACCTTCCCATGGCTGCAGAGCTGCCCCAAAAGCAAGACTAGAGGCAAAGCCAGCCAGCAGCCCCTTCCTCTCCCATTCCAGCCTGGCCCAGATCACCCAGTTCCGAATGATGGTGTCTCTGGGACATTTAGCCAAAGGAGCGAGTCTGGACGATCTCATTGAAAGCTGCATTCAATCTTTTGGTGAGTTGGTTAACTGCCCACATGCATAAAAATCGCTATATTACTTTGTTCTTCCTTAAAAAGTGCTTTATAGAATAGCAACCTGAATTATATTTTGGCATTAAAAATAGCTTTTGAGCTTTTGAAATGTTGGAGACAGTCTGCAGAGCCTATGGCACATGACTGTGTGGGTGGAATAGGTCGTGATGAGAGGTGTAATTTAAAGTGAGAAAAGTTACTGAGGAGAGTTTGCATTTCCATTTTTCTTAGGATGGAGGTTGTTCTCATGGTAAAAAATATGAAATGATATAGTACATCTGGTGCTTTGATACTTCTCTGTCCCTATGTTCTTGAGGTACATAAAGGCTATGTTACGTGAGCAAACATTGTTATCAAACAAATTGAAAGCCTTTGAATCATTTGGACAAATAATTTCCCTTATAATCTGGAGGATAGTTGTGGTAAAATAGGAGAGGACCTGGTAAAATGAGAATGTTTGTGATTAGAAGATACTGGTTAATAAGCGTTGCGATGAAGGGTCGAGGAGCTGGGAAATAATCATGCAAACACACACACTGGCAGTGAATTTTTCAGATGCTGCACTCTGCCAGCACCTGTACTCACCATGAAGGAGGCACAGCTTAGTGCCGCTGACAAGCAATTATCTGAAAAGACCTTTTTTTAATTCTATAAGCACTGTCTTTCTTTTGATTGTTATTTGTGAAATAGTGATTGAGAAATACTAAATATTTGCTCCCTTCCAGAAAAGGAATGATTACAATTGATGGCTTTCAATGAAATCTTTGAATTCAAAGATTTTCAGCATCACATCCCTCGGGTGTGCCCTTCTTTGTAACCCTCCATCTCCCACATGAACCATAAGAGTTTGTGTGGTTTAGCTCAGAGGCACCAGCCCACCCACTCCTGGGGAGCGGAGGGGAGATTTAATCAGATCCCAGGTAGCACAAGATCTATTAGATCTCAGAACTAAAAACTATCAGCTGGACGTTTTTACTACTTCGTCAGACCTTATTTATACAATTGGGAAAGACTTGACATTTTAGGGATACACATTTAGTACAATTTAGTACAACATTGAATAGTTTCAACTATTTCAACATTGGTTTAAAGCAATGGTTTGCAAACGTTAGTGCATCAGAATCACGTGGAGGTTTTTTTTTTTTTAATAACACAGATTCCTGGGGCCCCACCCCTACAATTTATCCTCCAGTAGGTCTGGGGTGCGGCCCAAGAATTTGCATTTCTAACAAGTTTCCAGGTGATGCTGGTGCAGCTGATCCAAGGAGCCCACTTTGAGAATCACTTCTTTAAAGTGCTGTTTGTTGTTGACTTTTTAATGTGGAAAAGATGGAGAATTTTTATTATTACTGGTTTAGCATTACATTTTAAAACATTTTTATTGAAACATATTGATCGTACATATTTATGGGGTACAGAGTAATATATCAATACATGTATAAAATGTGTGATGATATATTCAGCATAATTAGCATTAAATCTTAATTAAATTTATCTTCATTTATTTACACTTTAAATTTGGAAGCAGAATAAATGGCTTTCTATTTCGCCATAATCTCCTTAGAAAATATACATGCAAGAAGGTGAACTAGAAAACAGGAAACCCATGGAAGAATGGCCCATGATGAGCTGTTATTCATCATGTCCTTTATTTGCACCCAGTTCCCAACCAGAATGAATTGCAGAGTTTCTTATAGCATGGTGGTATCTGACATATTTACTGGTCTTTAGCAGGGCACTGTGACTATTTCATGAATTAGGATTTTTATTCTCTTTCTATTTCACTATTGAAAAAACTGAGACCAAATATGTATTTGTCTGAGTTCAGGGCTGCTTTTTTCATCAAATAATCATGACATCAACCTGAAAAAGATAGGGCCAATTCTGAAATCCTTCTCCAAAATAACCAAGCTGAATCTACTCCCCTCAACAAATCCTACAAAGGCAAATGATACATGGTTTTACAGAATATGTTGAACAGAAAAAAAGTTTCTTAAAATCCAAAACCTGTAAAAAATCCCATTGAGTCTAGTAAACATTTATCCATTATCACAAAGCATTGATTAAGCCCCTAATTGCATCTGACACTGTGCTGGGCAGGGCATGGCACAAGGAGAATTACGGTGACCAAACCCTCTTCCATTAGAGCTTACAATACTTGAGAAATAGACAGTTTAGGGGAAAAATATATATAAACACACACACACACACACACACACACACACACAAGACAGGGCAATAAAGGAAGGGTGCAGGAAGAATAAGTTCTTTATACTATGTAGAGTTCAAGTAAGCACACTTCACAGGTGAGGACATAGATTAAGGAGAACAGCCACCGTTCAAGTCCCTCTTGGGCTGTAAGAATGCTGCAGGAAGAAAAGAAGGTAAGATCTTGGGGTTTTGTATATTATGTACTTCAGTTTCCTGTCACAGAATTTACATGAAACAGGCAAGATAGAAAAGACACTCTATGTCTGGAGAGAATGGGAGACATCACCTTCTTGATTTCAGGAGATTTGAATTGACTAGCGCTGCACTGTCCAATACAGTAATCACTAGCCACATGTAGCTATTTTCATATAAATTTTGATTAATTAAAATTAAATTTAGTCCTTAAGCCTCACCAGACTTAAGCCCTAGGTCAAGTGCCCAGTATCTGCAGGTGGTAGCTTCTGCTGGACAGAGTAAATAGAGAATATTTCCATCATTGTAGAAAGTCTGCTGGAAAATGCTGGAGAGGGTAGATGGTTGCCTTAAGAAGGGAAAAGCAATAGACAGATTTTTAGAAACTGTGGGATTTGCATTTTGTTAGTATTTCTAGGTAATAGTCTGAATACTGCTTAAAAAGCCTCATGGGCATTCAGAAGTCTTTACTGATGGCTATCTCTTCAGCATTATTAACCATTAATTACTACCCACACTGTTCTCAGAGGAAGGGCTTATTATAATGCTTTTAAGGATAGGTAGCCAGCACATACAAATTAAGAGTACTTTTGAAGGCCTCTAGCAAGCCTCCCAATGTCACATACAAGGTTACAGATCTGTGATTAGAAACTTACAGCCTTGAGTCATAGTTCATTGCTTTAACCATGAAACAACCCACTCCCACCTTCTGTTTTAATCAGAGGTCATGCTTTACATTCTCAGCATATTATTGCTAGTTAATCCACTCTTCAGTTGAGCATAATGAGGCAAATCATCACAACCTAGTACATTTATGTTAAACGTATGTGAATCACACCATCTGTTTCAGAGATAGAAAAGACCTATGAGATCATCTGGGCTTTTTCAAATTTTTTCACTTTATAAAAGGGCTGCCAGCATTTGGGGTCAAATGGAAGGCTTCAAATGTCCAAATCCATAAAGCCCTTTCCTTGATCCTCTCCCAGTGCAAGACAACTCTGACAACATCAGAAAGAAAACTGCACACATGCCCCAGGAAGGGACTCCTCACCAAGCAGCCCTCCTGCTGCTGGGCTGGGTGTGGGAAGAAACTCAGTGGTTCATCTTACCTGTCAGTGTGAAGGGAAATGCATCCTAATATCTGATATTTATGGAATGTTGTTTACTTTTTCTTGGAGTTCCATATGTATTGATTTTCTTGCATACTCAGCAGCTCTGAAATGGGCAGGTTAGGCATTATTATCTCCATTGGATAAACAAGAAAATAAATCAAGCCTCTGAGAATTGAAACAACTTGCCTTATGCCCACAGTCTAAAGAGAAAACATGCTGCTCATGTTCTCCTTCCCCTGCTGCTAGCAGCCGCCTGCAACCTGAGCTGGGGCAAGCTCCATTTCTTTCCCTAAGAAAGGCCTTTCTATGCTCAAGGGAGACCTGCATGCCACACAGGACAGGCCTGTACTCTGTGCCTGCCATTCTGCATGCCTAGTCTCCCCAGATTAGAAATTAAACTCCATTCAATGTAAGAAATATTCATTGGACCCCATCTGTATACCACATGTCTGACTGAAATTCTCCCTTAAGCAAAGTGTTAATCAATGAACTACTTGTGCATTGCACTAATGCTATCCAAAGACCTCCCAAACTAGAAATACCCCAAAACTAATAGGTATGTTTTTTGCATTGTGGAGCAGTAGGATGTTAAAAGCATTTTATAGACCTCAACTTATTAAAGGTAAAACATTATACCTTTGAAAATTGGAGCCAAAGAAGGCAAACATGCACTTGTCAGGACCACAGTTTCCTCCACAGCGAAGGCAAAGTTACGTATTTCTCACCATTCTGCAACTTTGAGTCTGTGCACCAAAGCAAGGTGCCCAGAAGCAACAGGAGCACAAGATCAGAAGCCAAGGGCCATGACATGGATGTCACTTACACCCAAGAACAGGCAACTCCAAGGAACAAAGTCAAGTGTTAATGTCAGGAAGGGGCCTGAAGCTTTAGCCACTGCTGATGACAGGCTCTAAATGAAGAAGACCACAACTGTCTCAGAAGCCTCTTCAGTGGAACCCCCCAGTGGCTGGGAGTCAAGACACAAGTTTTCACATGTAAAGGATGGTCCTTGGCTTCTGAGGCTAAGGCTTCTAGGCATCAGAGCAGCTCACAGACACCACTCTTCTTTGCCCTATGGAATGAATTAGCATTACATAATCAGGATGCTGTTTATTCCAAAGAGCCCTTTGCTGCATCTTTGACAGGCTGGCATCACCAATGCCCCAGGATGGCATGTCTGCCCTCTAATGAGCATGAGTTACAGCGACTGCCAGGCCTGAGAAAGGAGGAGATGGGAAATCCCCTTCCTTCTTATCTGTGCTGTCCTGTGTGGAGGTGTTTATAGCAGGCCTCCGTCTGTAATAGAGAACAGAGGCAATCTTAAAAATGTTTATGGGTGAGTTAGACAATGTCTCAGGAATTCTGAGCATGTAAGTCCACCCAGAGAGATGAGTTTTACTGCTGAGAGAAAGAGACAGACAGATAGACAGATGGTAGACTGATGGTGGTTGAACACTTACTTACTAT